TTTTTTTTTTTTAATTCAAGTGTCGGAGCCAGAACTCTCACTGGGAAGCTGCTATTAGCAACCTGAAGCCTGGCATGGGACTCCAGTTCAGTGATCCTTGCAGATCTCAAATGTAAGGAGCCAGCACCCACATGTTCACCCAGCACTCTTCTCCACCTGACCCCAGCCTGGTCCCCCAAGTCTTTCCAAACCCTCACACACTGATTATATTCTTTTATTCAGGTTCATGACCCTGACAATTAAATCAACCTTGATTCATTCCCTTTTCTCACTCTCCAAATCCAAAAACTCTTTCGCTGTGTGGTGGCCTCTCCCACCCAGACATATATACCATCTGCCCATTTCTTTCCTCTCCGCCTGCTGAGTGAGCCTGGCCATTCCTCTAGTGCAGTCACCCCGATGTCGCCCTGACTCAGCACCTGGCCTCCTCATGGTCATTATCCCCCCAACAGGTGGACATGAACACAGACAGTGGAGGAGAATAAGCAGGATGATATTCAAATGAGGGCCTCGCTGTCTCCATTGCTGGGAGGCCCCCTGAGACGGCTGGTCTGAAGAGCCCTCAGGAGCCCCCAGGAGGCAGAGACTGCTACTGTCCCCTAGCCTGAGAGCTGCCCTACTGACAGTTTTCTTCTTTTCACCAAAATCCATTTTTCAAAAATATTCAGTGGAATGAAAAAAGAAAAGTAGTTGGCAGCTTTCAGTTTTGAGCAGTAATTTATTTCTATCAAAGGAGGCCATAGTTAGAGAAATTTCACGTCTTTAACTGAAATCACAGAGGAAATCTTAGGAAATAGCAGAATATATTGTATGTATGTGTGTGTGTATATACATACATATATATACATATATGTGTGTGTATATACACACACACATACATACATATATGTGCATATGTGTGCATATATATGTGTGTATATACATACATATATATACATATATGTGCGTGTATATACATACATATATATACATATATGTGTGTATGTACATACATATATATATACATATATGTGTGTATATACATACATATATATATACATATATGTGTGTGTATATACATACATATATATACATATATGTGTTATATATTTCTCTCTCTTCTCAAAGAGCTTTTGCTAAAATGACTTGGCATTTACAGCCAGTGGTGTTTGCCTTTATGGTCTGAGGCGGAAGCACTTCGTGGTGTGGCCACGTGTGACTGCCAGTCTCCTGCCGTTCCTTTCTGATTTTTTAAGCTTTAGCTCTGAGAAGTCCAATGGACTGAATCAGTGCTAGAAGAAGTAGAATTATTGGAAATTTCTAACCACTTTGCAGGCCAGAGGCTCCCAGTGGCGGTGTGAGAAGTCCTGGTGTTCATTATTGAGAGAATCCACATCCCATGAGAAACACCAGCATCAGACTTCTACCAGGAAGCTCAGGCAGGTATCACGAGGTATCTTAAAAAGGTTGATTAGAGCCTAAGATATCTATTTACATTTTTGTTAAAGTGACCCAATCTAAATGAGGAAACAAAGCAAGGTAATGATGACCTGTCCATCTGTCTATCCATCTGTCCATCGAAGTTATTATTCACGTATCTATTTCCCTTCCTATTTATCTATCTGTTTGCAATTCCGTGATCCATCTATTTATTGACCTGCCAAGAGTTGTTTCTTATAAATTGACTTGAAATTCTTATAATTCGTAAGTTTGATTTCATTTGTGTACTTGGTTATCTCAGATAATTATTTTAACTAAAACTTCTTAACAGTAAGAACACATATATGTTGCAGTCTATTGGACTGGAAGTCAGGTAGATAGATGATGGATAGATAGATAGACAGATGACAGACAGACAGCTAGATAGCCTGTGGATCCATTGTTGTAGACGTTTGAGTGATTTACACATTTGAGAGTAAGCTTGTAGGAAGACAGAAAGGACAGCAGACATGTTCCACACATGAGAATGATCTGTGAGAGATACATTATTCCTAGCTTTATAAATATTTCTGTAGTGTATAGAATTGGGTAAAATTATACTGGGAGCAGGTGTTATTAAAGACACCACATTCAATCACAGCAAGAAAAATGACAAAAGAAGAAAAAAGATAATAGTCCTCTTTCTGGCAGTGATTAGAGTGAACTATGAACAACAAAAGTAAAGAACTTCCAAATGAATTTTTAAATAACAATTTGAGATGAGTATGACAATGAAAGCTGCTAACAAATGTACTAAGTCTCTTTCCCTTACCTGGTCTGAAGGGTACAGGAAAGACTCAATAAAGAAAACCACTGAAATGAGACATAAGGAAGAAGTAGAATCTTGCTGCTGATAACAGTGCTTGGGGAAGGCTCATTTCAGACAAAGAAACAGCGTTCTTGGCTCCCTGTAGCTGCTGGAGAGGCTGAGAGGAAAGGATAGATTCTTCCCCGGGATGCTTTGGCTACAGGAACAGATTTATGCTCTCATTTTAAAATGTAGTACTCTCAGAGGGAAAGGCAGGATGCACAAAAAGGAGCTAGCTTCATATTTTTGTTTTTTCTCTCTTATTTGTTTTCTTGGGATTTTAGGCAAGCAATTTGGATTTCATGCTTGCTTTTTTCTTATTCTTTTAAGGTAGAAGGAGAAGCAACTCTTGAAAATGAAAGACTTTTTAAGAGAATACAGAGAAAGACATAAATGCAAACAGCACTTTTAAGGAAGCCATCTTTAAATTTCTTAACATAGGGAAATGATGTAAACTAAAATTAAGAAGGCTAAAGGATACAAAACTGATAACTGAATTCATTATCTGTTCCATGCAGAGAAGATTCTGCCTGATACAATTTTTTTATGAAACTGCTCCAGACAAATTATTAGGATTGGTTCTCGTCAATCTCAGAGGCATGCAGAGAAAACAAAGAGCTCACCATGGTGTGGAGGACACCGCTGACACCCAGGCTCTGGTGGACAGAGGGAGGGGGCAGCTCTGTGTCTGCCTCGGTTTCCCCTTCTGGTGTTACCGGGGACTGTGCTGCCCAGTGCCCCCTCCCTCAGGCCCAGAGCCCCACAGACCAGCTCCCTGAGGACTCATAAGCTCCACAGGGATCAGAGCCCACATGGGCCCGAGTTGAGTTCACGCAGGACCAGGCCACAATTAATAGCAGGACTTCTTTAAAACTTGGATTTGAAATGGATGTTCACATTTCCATATGCCACATCCTGCAAATTGAAAATAACTGAAAGGTGAACAAGAAGGAGGAAGAGGCATCTAGGCATTGGTACCACTGTGTGAATTCTAGAGAAAAAACATTTGACCATTTGGACATTCCTCTTTGCAAATACTTTGTTAAAATACAAACGTTTCAAGGAATGATGATAAACAAGTGATTTTCCTTTATTTTCCCTCCTCTTTGAATCACAAAAACAATGATACAGGGCTACGGCTTGACTATTTGAGTCCTTCCACTATTCTGGTTGAGATGCAATTTCCAGTGCAGCAGTTTGAAGAGCAGGGTCCTTGGGTGATTCAGCCACTGATCATAGCCCCTTACAAGGGCCTGCAGGGTGAGCTTGGACCTCTTGCTCTTTGCCAAGCAAGGAGACAGAATCCATGCAGAGTCAGCTCTTCCTGCCACCTAGCAGTAGTAGCAAGGGCTGAGCTGCAAGGAAGGATGGAGTCCTCAGCAGAAAGAGCCTGCAGGGCCTCAACCTGGGCATCCCCACCTCCAGAACCCTGTGCCCTGTACTTCTCACCTCCATAACTGATCACATGCCAGGCATTGCTATAGCAGCATGAATTGACTAGGACATACTTCAGTTAAATAAGAGAATAGTTGCAAGTGCACTCTTTAAATAAATCACTTGGTAGTGTTAATTTTGGGCTGAAATAAAGTACATCAGGAAAGGAAAAGTATTTCTCCATATACCAAACTCTGAAAGTTTCTATCCAAGTTCATCGCCCAACATAAAACTACTATTAGGATGTGACATGAAGCGAGGAGAGACAAAAGGTTGTGGGGACATAGACGTGGGTCAGATGTGTACCATAGGGTGTCAGAAGCTTGGGTGGTGGAAGATGTGCTTTTGACTGGATCCCCTACTTGTTATCACCCTTGGTATTTGGACATGGCTTCTTTATTTCCCACAGAACCATCCTGTATATAAAAAGGAAACAAGAGAGCAAAATTAACAAGAGTCAGTAAAATAAGTACAAATAATAAGCTATTTACAGACAGCGGTGGAGTCCAAAATTGGACTTCGGCCTTCAAACCTCAAGGCAAATGGAGTTGTTCACAAGCAAGAGGCTGAAATGTGAGTGACAGCACATTCCAAGGAGGAACAGAAATCTAGAGCAGCTCTGCGAAAACCAGCTCGTTGCTTCTTGGATAGAACTGAACTGATAGAATCAATTACTATGAAAATGTGTCTAATAAAACATATTTGGAGTCTATGTATGGTTTTAATAGATAACACAGTGTCTGAAAGTTTAATGAATTTGTGACCAATGAACACTGACTATATGATAAGGATGTGTGTGAGCAAATTGAGCAAACAAATGTGTGGCTAAAACAGAGGAATTAAACTATGAGGTTAAATAATCACTGGCACATAAGAAATAAAATAAAGATAAATGTGGTTTATCCAATATGAGGAAATTATCTCCCATTTGTGAATATCTCTCAAACCACTGTTATCATTTGTCAAATAAGTAGACATAATTCCACTGTTCTGCTTCCTAAAGATATAAAAGAGATTATACCATAATCACCTATGGGCTGAAATACATGCAGAGAAAAACTCACAAAAACAGCAGAGAACAATTAAAAGCAAAATGATAAAAAAGCAGGAAAAAGATAGCAGAATCAAACGGTTGGTGTCCCTAAGCAGATGCCATAAGTGTGACCTAAATGTCTGTACACGAGTATGTAAAAAATGTAAGATTGTCCTGTAATTGACAAGATTCAACCTGTACCGTGGACACTCATTACAAGCTACAAAACAGGTTTAGGAAACAATATACATTTAAATTCTACTGAAACTATGAAATTTTAAAGGTTTAAAATCCATACACACACTTTAAAATACAAAAGATGACAGAAAAGCAAGGTAAGATGGAAGAAACACAGGCAGTCTGTTTTCGGGCTTCTTCTGGGCCGCTCGAGGACTTCTGTGTCCCCTCTTGCCCTGGGGAGAGCAAGCCTGGTGCAGGTTTGGGAACTAGGATCACTGATTTGCTGTGACCTGAAGGAAACCCACCTAGCAAGCTAGCAGACTCTGCTGGGTCTCAGGGTGACTGACAGGTAAACCAGCAAATGCAAGGGGAAAAGCCAGCCAGAGTGTGGGTGGCACTAACCAATAGGCTTATAGCTCAGACCAAATAAAAAGGGAAAGGAAGAGGCACCTCCCTCCTTTGCAATCTCCAGGGATGGCCGTTGTCTGGGATGTTCCTCTCCAGGGACACCTGGCTAGCCGGAGCGGTGTCCCACGGGAACTCCCGCTGTTGACTGCAGGAGCTTCTAAGTCTCTGGACTTGAACTGCTCCTGGACCTTCCATCTCTCCTGCACAGGCCGCCTTTTCAGTTCTCTGGTCTCAGTCTGCAAAGGGCCTCGGCCACTTCCGCTCCCGATCTTGCAAGCCCGCCTGATAAATTCTACTCCACACAGTCACTGCTGTTTTGCAGCTGGATTATTTCTCTAGAGAACCCTACCTAGTATGGAAACGCAGTCTCCAGTGCCCCTGCATTAATGAGTTACATGAAGAAAACGTCTGGAGAAGGAAAGAGAGTTGTTAATTACTTCAACAATAGTTATTTGCATTTTTAACCATATGAGTGAAGAAAATGAAACAATTGTACAACCAAACTAAAATTTAAAACACTGTCTGAATTAATAGTTAAAAGTGAGAAACTTTAAAATAAAAGAATGTATGAAAGGTAACATAAAAGGGAAACCATATTACAAAAAAGGGGAAATAAAGAAACAAGTATTTAGATAAAAGAGAACATTTTTAATAAAAGCAAAAATTCAGATCGATCATAACTATCCTGTTAATAAAGATTAAAAAGCCAAGCCAGGTGTGTTTTAAAGCATCAAGTTTGATTTTTAAAATATTCCAGCAAGATGCCTTATACAGGAGCCAAATATACCAACTTTAAATTTAAAAATGGAGAAAATTCCAGACTATAAAATTAAATGACACTTTTCTGTATCGTATTGAACAAAATAAAAAGACTCCTGTTTATATATATATATATATATATATATAAATTCAAAACATGACTTCATCCTCTGTCAAATAGACAAAGCGGAAAAGCCACACGTCACCAGCATAATACAATTTAAAACAGCATGTGTGTGCTCAGTGCGGAGAGGCTTTTCCGAACACTGCATAAAACTCTTTCCAGAGTGTGTTTCCCACAGTTTCTAGTGGGGAAGTCAC